AGTGGGAAAGGATTGAGAAAGGAGGAAATATAAATTTTATGCCTAAAGATATGTGATGAATATGTTTTGTGGCTGGAACATGAAGGATTTAATCCGTGGATGGCTGGTAATTTTTTATGTTTGTTTTGTTTTTTTTAGTTTTAGGCTTTGTTGTGAATTTTTTAGCAGGTTTTCAATGACCTGGAGGGGATTTTTTTGCCAAAGTTTGTGCTGATTGTTTTATTCTGGAGCTTTCTATTTTTTGGCGCTTCCTTCGTGCCGCCTTAGAATGTATCTAGGCAATTTTGTATTTTGTTTAGATGGGGAAGTCGGCCCTTAGGTTTTCTTTCTTTAAATGAATTGTAGCTCTTCGAGCATTAGCGGGCTGATTTACCCCTAAGGACTTGTAATTTTGAATTATATTAACGCGTAGGCCCCTTTGTGGGTTTCAACTAAAAAAAATGAATAAGTATGTTATAAGGGACTAATGAAAAAATATGATCAAGCAGAGGTATAAGTTAAAATAAAGGTATAAAGTATAGAGAAAATGTGGAATGTATTTTAAAATGATATGTTATTTTTTTCTATTATTCATTTCATTCCTGATATGATGGTTTACACAAGTGTGCAAAAGTATATTTTAATTGTTCATTAAAATATTCAATTATTAATGTTATTATTTTATATAAGATATTGAATTATGTAGAGATCTCAAGTAGCCTATTGAACAAATTGTTACTCATCTTTATTTTATTTAATATGTTATTTCAGGAACGGATAAGGCCTCATTTTAGTAGAGATTGTTGATTGAAGTTGAAGTCTATTATAAAGCATGTTTTCTTATATATAGATGAATTCTTTTTGCGAATTGGTCATTATATATGCATGTTGGTAGGGTGTCAAATATTTTGACATGACCGAAAATCCGACCCGAACCCGACCCAAAATTTCGGTTAGGGTTAACCCGAACCGAAACCGGGTCGGGTTCGGGTTCAACATTTCAACCGTCAAAATCGGGTCGGGTTCGGGTTAACCCTTTGACGCCGGAAAATTGACGCCGGAATGACAACCGATTTTGACCCGAAAACCCGATTTTGACCCGCAACCCGAGATTTGACCCGACTTTGACCGATTTTGACCGAAAAGAGGAGATGACCCGTTTTGACCCGAAATATAATTAGCAATTTTTTGGTTGAAAACGGGTCATTCGGTCGGGTCGCGGTTTGACCCGGACCAAGCGGGTCGGTTCGGGTCAAGGAAACCGACCGTTTTTAAAAACGGGTCGGGTTCGGGTTACCCGAATAGTACCGGGTCAGTTTCAGGTTTGACCCAACCCGACCCGTGACCCGATGTTTGGTTTAGAAAAGATTATACTTTGTATTATTGTGTTATATTCTTTTAACAGTATAAATGAATTAAATGAATGAATAATGAAAATTTATGATTATTATTATCTGATATTGTAGAAGTCTTTGTATTGTGAATAAAAAAAATATATAAAAATAAGAAAAAATACCCAAACTAGGTTCCAGTTGAAATAGGTGACCTACCTATGACCTTCACACGATGTGACATGGCTTCAACATATATAGCAGATATATGGTCGAATTGTGACATATATTCAGCCTTCTTAAAATTTGCTTGGGAGCTCAAAAAAACATTCTTCTCCATTTTGTCTTCATGCTGTTGATGTCCCATTTATCTTTTTTTACTGTTATTTTCTTCTAGCACTTTTGGGAGGTTATGTTTTTTGGTTTATTCTTCCTATTGTTTGAGGAAAAATCTTTTTATTATACGCTTACTGTGTAAATTCTTTTACATAGTAAAATATGGGCTCAAACCCTCAATTTCCCAAAAAAAAAAAAAAAAAGAATTGCTTGGGATGAAAATACTTTATTAAGAGTAGTTATTCGTACTGTCTTAGCTTGTTTTTTATTCTGTTTTTACTTTTTTAATTTTAGTTTATATAGTTTAGTTATTTCTCTTTCATATATAATATTTTATTAAGATGAATAAATTAAGAAGATGATCATGTCATACTATTAAATGAAAAAAACTTAAAAAAAAAAGAATAAGAGTAACATACAAATAAAGAGAACGCCAAATAGATCGATGTAGAGAAAAAATTATTTGGAATCCCACTAAACAAACTAATGCACGACAGAGAAGACCCACAAATGTGTACGTATAAAAGTTAACATAAAACAACAACCAACAATTCAAAATCAAAAAGAAAAATTCAGAAAGCACAACGGATCAGATGATAGAATCAAAAGAAAACAACTTCAATGTTCAAACACACAGAACACATATCAAGGGATGGTGGGCTCTTCCGGCTTGCTGTGGGTCGGTATTCCGGAACCTCCGGCTTGGGCAATTCATGAGTTATCTCCGGCAACGCGGCAAACTCTGGCTGGGAGCTCAGAGGGATCTCTGGCAAAGGTGGCAACTCTGGCCTTGGGGAGGTCAGAGGGATTTCCGGCAAGTGCGGCAGTTCTGCTTGGGCAAGTCATGTGGAATCTCCGGCAACGAAGGCAACTCCGGTTTGGGTAAACTCGTGAGGAATTTCTGGCAGCGGACGGCAACTCCGGTTTGGGTAGCTCGTGCGGGAATCTCCGGCAATGGAGGCAACTCCTCGGTTTGGGTAACTCGTTGAGGAATTTCCGGCAGCGGAGGTCAACTCTAGCTTGGGAATTCAGGTAAAGGGAGGCAATATCTAGCTAGGCAGCGAAAA